GTGGTGGCGCATGCCTGTAGTCCCAGCACTTGGGAGGCAGAGGCAGGCGGATCTCTGTGTGTTCAAGGCCAGCCTGGTCTACATAGTGAGTTCCAGGACAGTTGGGGCTACAGGGAGACCCTGCTTCAAACAAACAAACAAACCAGCTGCAATGAGAAAAAAAAAAAAAAATGAAAAAAAAAAAAAAGCAAAAAAAAGTGGTATCATTTAATTTATTTTGGTTCAATTTTATTTGAACCACTCTTCCCCTAGACATATCTTCTTGTATCTGGACTTTGAAAACATTTTCTCCTGTGATGTTGTGGTTCATTTAGAATTACTTGTGTTCTACTTATGCTTTGGGTAAATAACATCTTGTTAATTTGAACACTGTCACCTGTTACATATAAAGACATACAGAAATTGCCTCGTGGGCATGGTGGCCTATGCCTTTAATCCCAGCACTGGGGAGGCAAGAGGCAAGTGGATCTCTCTGAGATTCAGGCCAACCTGGTCTGCCTATTAAGTTCCAGGCCAGCCGGGGCCACTGAGAGACCCTGTCTCAAACAAACAAACAAACAGACCTACAGAAATAAATAAATGCGCCCCCCCCCCCCATTCAAGCTCTTTGATGTGGTGTTGGAATTTCTCCACAGTCTGGTCCTGACACGCTTGTAGTTTTTATTCTTTTTTTCTGCTCTTTGTGAAGCCTCAGTTCCAGTCAAACTTAGTTGTTCCCAGGAAGTCCTCCTCTTGGCCTTATTTATGCTACTCTTTCTGTTTGAAATGCTTTTCCACCTGTGCTCACAGTTCTTATTGTGGGGCAGCTTAAATGTTGTCTCTTAAGCCTTTTTGAGGGTTACTCTGGAGGGAGTCTTAACGAGTCACTCATCTTGTGTGAAACTTTCTGTTTTTTTTCCCCTTAGTCGGTGCTTGTGTGGATTTCTTTTTCTGCTTCCCAGCTAGATTTTTAAGAACCTGAGGAATGAGTATGTATCTATGGAGACCATATATTTGGCACTGAAAACATGGATATTGTGGTCTGACCAAATATTTTTGGTTACAGAGTATACACAATTTGTATGTTTCCTAGTGCTGGCGTTTCAGAGATTTTGATAATTTATGAGATAAAATATTTGAAATTAAAATACTTGGTCAGTATGTTTACATCTATTATTGCAGTTCTCTACCTGTACAAGATGTTTAGCAGTCTCCTAGTGACCATGTTATGTTACTCAAATGAAAATCAGTCCTTAGGTTTCCTTCAGGGTTGATTCTGGGACAGTTACTAGGTTTGGGTTTGGCACTAGTACACTAAGGGGAACCATTCTGTATTTGTATGTAGGTGACATCTACTATCATGGGAAGGAGAAAATACTCTGTAGCTTTAGTTTGCATTCTTAACCTCAGATGTTGATGGTGTGTGTCATTGCTCAGAAGGCAGATAAGGCAGGGGAGTACGTGAGTCACTGCTACCTGTCAACATTGTTAGAAGAAACAAGCTGGCCCATAGTATTCTTATACACCAAGGATAATGTAATTATGCAGCTCCTAGGTAGGTGCTGATGCATTTGGGAAATAGGGTGTGTGTGTGTGTGTGTGTGTGTGTGTGTGTGTATTGTATGTTGAATGAATCTGTTGGCAGTAAATCATCTTGGTTAGCCCACTGCCCTGTGTGGGAGACCTTTCCTCTTACAGTTATTTAATAATTTCCCCTTCAAATTGTCTTAATTTTATTTTTATTTTGTGTGTGTGAGTGTATATTGCCTGCATGTATGTAAGTGCAGTGTCCTTGTAGGTTAGAAGATGGTGTCTGGATCCCCTGGAACTGGAGATATGGACAGTTGTTAGCTGCCATGTGGGTGCTGGGGCTCGAACCTGGGTCCTCTGCAAGAGCAGCCAGTGCTCTTAACTGCTGAGCCCCTCAAATTGTCTAATTTTTAGAAAGTAGTTTATATAAACCTTTTTTCAAGGTTCATAAACCTTGCTAGTATAACAAGCTAAAAACTAACCTGTTAGTAAACTTTGCAGAAATGCTAGGTATTTTTTACTTAGGTTGCTTGCATTTGTAAAGGCACTTTGATAGCCTAATACCAGAAATTTCCCTGGTAGAGAAGAAATCTAGATCAGTTGCTTTTGACTGTGTGGTATTGTTTAGAAGGAAGTTTTGCCATATGTCATCTATATGAGCTATAAAGTGGAAGTTGGTCAGATGAATTGTTTAGAGGGTGGAGCCCATTTTAAAATTAATTATTTTTCTTTTGTGAATGGAAATTTTTTTTTTTTTTTGGTCTTTTCAAGACAGGATCTCCCTGTCTCGAAAAGACCAAAAAAAACTTAAGTTTTTTTTTAAGTTTTTTTTTTTTTTTATTTTCTGTGTATGTAGATGCATGGGTACATGGGTCTCTGTGTGTGTTTGTGTGTTTATGGCACCAGAGTACTTGCACATGAATGTGTTTCTTCTTGAGTGGCCTGAGGTTGAGGTTGTGAGTCTTTCTCAGCTGTTCTCCACCTTACTGAGGCAGGGGTCTCAGATGGACCCAGAGCTCATGGATTGGACTAGCCAGCTTGCTCCGGGGAATCCGTCTCTACCTTTTGAATGCTGGAATTACAGAGGTGAACCTGCCCGCAAGGCTTCTTTTGTTTGCTTTGGAGACAGGGTCTCACTATATAGCCCTGGCTGGCCTAGATCTCGCTATGTAAACCAGGCTAGCCTCTTAACTCACAGAGGCTGGTGTTCTTTTGATTCTTGTTTTGCAGATGAAGGAAGAGCTCTGTATTCAGTGTTGCATGTTAAGTCGCAATAACAGTTGTGATTGGGTTCAGAAGGCAGTATATAATTTCTGTGAATTAGAAAAAATCACATCAAATTTTTTTGCTTTTTAACTTTTTTTTCCTTTTTGTATTCATTTATTGAGTTTTTATTTTTCTTTATATTTTTATGGTGCTAGGGATCAAATTTAGGGCCTTGTACATGTTGAGCAAGCAGTCTCCTGCTGAGCTACATCCCAGCGCTTGATTTTTTTTTTTTTTTTGAGGCTGTCTCTATGTAGTTCAGGTTGGCTTTGAATTTCCAGTCCTGCCTTAGCTTCTTGATGCTGGGATTAACAGACCTGTGGCAGTACATTTAGCTTAAAGTTTATTAAATAGAGCAGCTACTGTAATTCCAGAATTATTTGTTTACATTTTGGGGGAGATCACTGTCTTTTGATAACAGTGGAATGTGGAATATTGAGTTTTTTTGGTGTATGTGTTTGACAGGATTTCCCTGTAGTCCCAGCTGGCCTGGGACTCAACAGAGAGTTCCTGAGTGCTTGGACTCAAGGCATGTGCACCACGCCTTACTCTTAAGTTTTTTTTTTTGTTGTTGTTTTAAATGACTAACTGATTAGTAAGCAGCTGTCATATGTAGGCACTGTTTATAAACACACACACAGATTCTACAACCTACAAATAAATGAGAATATATCAAAATACGAACCAGAATTCTTTTCATCCTAAATTTAAATGGAATATACTTCAGAAAATTATGAGGGGCTTGGTGCATCCTGTGCCTCCCAGGCTGGCCTAGAAGTGTGGATGATCATGCCTTAGCTTCTCAGTGCTGACATTGTAGGCACATGCTACATTGTTCTCACAGCTATTTTAACGTTGCTTTTCAAACCCAAACTGAATTAATAGATTTAAAATTGATTTATAAAAGCCATTACAAAATTATCCCATAAAATCACAATAAAAGTTTTTCAACATTTTGAATTCTTTTTTTTTTTACAGTCTAGTGAATGGTTTGTAGACCAATATAAGTTGTTGGACCCTATTTTTCAGTAGGACTGTGTTAGTAACCTACAAAACAAGTCATCTTAAAAATCTCAGTCTAGAACAGTATTCATAATTACTGATTGATCTAATGCTCCCCACCTCCTTATGCTGGGGATCAAGTCCAGGGACTGGTGCATGCTAGTGGTCTACCACTGAGCTCTCTCACAGCCCTTAAAAAAAACCTCTTACGAAAATTTCAGATCCACACAGTGACACTAGGAGAATGAATCCTCACGTGTCCATCACCCAGTTACCTACTCATGGCCAATATCGTATCATTTATATTTCTCTCACTTCTTCCTTGTGGATTATTTAAAGGAAATTCCAGACCTAAAACTGTAAATAGTTAGTGCTCTGATTACCCTTGCCCAACTGGAATTTGCTCATGACATCCTGTGATACAAGGCTTTTGCCTCTGTCCTTCCATTCTGTAAGCTGCAGATCTGGAGGTTTGCTCTTATTCAAGTTCTGGTACCATTATTGTTGTTTGGTACAAGTAATTCATAGTAGTATAGGGCATGGGCATATGATAGCTTTAAAAACAGATTTTAATGCCAATTATTATGCGATGCTTAATTTAATATTAACTTTTAATTTGAGCTTAACAATTTGTTACATGTGAACAGGGTAAATTAACTTTTTAATTATCTTTGATAGGGTATTTGCAAAATAAATTCATTGACATTCTAAAGTGAGCTTAAAAACATTTTATTTTTTATGTGTATGAGTGTATTGCCTTGCATGCATGCAAGCACACCCATGTTGTGCAATGCCTGCAGAGGTCAGAAGAGGGTATCGGATCTCCTGGAACTGGAGTTACAGACAGATGTTAGTGCCATGTGGGTGCTGGGAATCAAACCCAGGTCCTCTGCAAGAGCAGCCAGTGCTCTTTAACTGCTGAGCCATCTCTCTAGCCCCCCAAAGTGAGTTTTTACATACAATAGAGATTTTGTTTGCTAGAGTTAGTACATGAGATGGAGGTCATCTTATTTAGGTCCATCTTTTTTTTAAATATATTTTTAAAATTATTTTTATTTTATGTATACAAGTGTATTGCCTGCATGTAGGTAAGTGCACCTGTGTCGTGCAATGTCTGCAGAGGACAGAAGAGGCCGTCAGATCCCCTGGAACTGGAGTTACAGACAGTTGTTAGCTGCCACATGATTGCTGGGATTTGAATCCGGGTCTTCTGCAAGAACAGGCAGTGTTCCTAACCGCTGAGCCATCTCTCCAGCCCTGGTCCATCCTATTCTTAAAGTGAGAAGATCATGACTCTTAAGAGGTAAATAGGGTTTGCTTACTAATCTCATAGATAGTTGTTTGCTGTCCTTTAAAGCATAGCCATCTATAGACACTGTAGTTCATTTACATGTCATTTGGACAGACTTCCTCCTTTTTAAGAAAGGGTCTCTCTGTAACTCTATCTAACATAGAACTCACTAATGTAGACCAGGCTGGCCTGGATCTCACAGAGATTTAGCTGCCTTTGCCTCCAGGCTCTGGGACTAAAGGTGTACACTACCACTCCAGGCCTCTGACTAACTCTTGTTTCAGTTGACTAAGTGAAAATGGAAGGCCTTTGGGGCTGGGGAGATGGCTCAGCTGTTAAGAGCACTGACCGCTTTTGAGAGTACCTGGATTTGAATCCCAGTACCCACATGGCGGCTAACAGCCGTCAAAACTACAGTTCCAGGGCATCCAACACCTTCTTCTGACCTCCACCGACATTGCATGACATGAGTGCATTTATGTACATTCAGGCAATATACTCATACACATAAAATGAAAATAATAAATAAAATATATATAAAAGAAAATGGAAGGCTTTTAAATTTTGTAACATAGCATGGTTTCTTTAGCAATCTGGATTGTTATGTATTAGTCTAAAGTCAGGTCACCTATAGCCATCCCCCAACTTGATTCTAGATGATGAATATATTGTGTTTTGTTTTAAAATGCATTTCTAGGTTTTGGTTACTTGTTCAGCTTTTTAGATATTTTTTTCATAGTTCTCAATCTAAATATGTTTTGGGAAGGTTCTATATAATTTAAAAAAGCAAAATATGAGCAAAATGTGTGGCACCAAGTTTTTTTTTTGTTGTTGTCTTTTTGAGACAGGGGCTCCCTGTAGTCCCAGCTGACCTGAACTTACTATGTAGATCAGGTGGGCCTTGAACTCACAACAATCCGCCTGCCTCTGCCTCCCAGAGTGCTAGGATCAAAGGTGTGCGCTACCATGCCTGGCTGTTTTTTGTTGTTTTTAAAAACTTTAGAAGTATCGTTGAGGGGGCTGGAGACATTGACTGTTCTTGCAGAAGACCTGGGTTTGAATCCCAGCACCCACATGGCAGCTAACAACTGTTCATAACTTCAGTTCCAGGGGATCTGACAACCTCTTCTGTCCTCCGTGGGAATTGCATGACATGGGCACACTTACCTACATGCAGGCAGTACATGCATACACATGAAATAAAAATAATTAAAAAAGAAAAGTATTGTTGATAGTCTCAGGGATTGCTCTGCAAGAAACTCAGGCAGGTTAATAGTTCAGGTTTTGGGTAGTGGGAACCTATGACTGAGCTGCAGTGAGTGTGTGTGTGTGTGTGTGTATTACAAAGTTTGTGTGTTTGGATGCAAAATGCATTCAAACTCTGGCACTAACACTTAGCAATTTGTGATTTTATTTTATTATTTTTATTTTAAAGTGAGTTACTGTGCTTGTTTCCAGTCTTTAAAATTGGGCTTAATAATAGTTCTCAGGATTAAATTGGTTAATAGGTATAAAGTGCTTAGTACAATGCTTAGCAAATTTGAACTGGTATTGTTTACTTATTGAACAGGGCTAGCTTTGGCAAAATTGTGAAATAGACAAAGTTAGCCTAGCTGTTGATACATCCTAATGATTCAAGCAATAGTGCCTTCTGCCTATTGCTGTCTTTGGCATTCTTTTGCGTGATGCTCTTTGTTAAACTTTTACCTACTTGTCCTTCCCATCTTTACAATGATAAGAAAACCCTTATCGTCTTTTTATTGTTCCTCATACTTGAGGAATCATGGGGAAAGTGATGGAATTGAGCTACATTATTAGTAACATTTATAAATAACTTGTTTTTAAAACAATTTTAATTTGGATAACTTTTTGGCTTCAAATTTTGGCAGAATAAGTTGAACTGATTTTGAGCTATTAGGATTTTTGGACCAGATTATAAATCTGAGCTGGCATTGCCTTGGAATATTTCAGTTACTTGGTTCTGCCGCCTTTTCACAACCTCGTCTTTGTTCACATCATAACTTACCGATTACATGAAAGTTCCAAGTTTCCATCTCTTTCCTCTGTCACACAGGTAGCACCTCTAGCATTTGATAAAAGACTGCCATTAGTAAGCCAGAAGTACTTACTAATGACTTCTGGTGCTCTTGGTGCTTTGTAGTATTGTTCACAGTGTCACTATAGAATGGAATAATCTAAGAAATTTTGAATGTATTAGGGCATGTTCATAGAGTTCTTACAAATGTTGCATTTTCATTTTTTAAAAATAATGTCTCTTTTCAAAAAAGTCTCATTTATTTTTCTGTGTATGAGTGTTTTGCCTGCATGTATGAAACTGCACCCATGAGTGCAATACCCACGGAGGCCAGAAGAGGACTTTGGATCCCCTGGAACTGGAGTTACAGACAGTTATTAGTCACCATGTGGGTGCTGGCTAACTGAACCTGGGTCCTCTGCAGAGCAGCCAGTGGTTTTAACCACTGAGCCATCCCTCTAGCCCCACAATGTTGCCTTATTTTGTGATGCTGGGAATGGAACCCAGGGCTTCAGGCTTGCTAAGCAAGTACTTTAATCACTAGGCTAAATCCCCAGCCCTCTTTTAATATTTGTAAATGTTGTATTGACATGTACCCTTGAGGTTGTCTGATTTCCATACATATTTAAGAAAATGGTAATTTTTATCTCTATAGATTGTGGCTCCCTGAACCACAAGGACAGTGTTTTATCTAGTTTTATTTCTCCACCATGTCTGAGTTGTAAGTTACACCTTTATTGTTATCCTGGGTTGTCGAGTTCCTTAGTTTTGTTTGAGATTGTAATTTGAGGTTCATGACTCTGTATGGTAAAATTGGTTTTACTAAGGTGCTTAAAGAAAATTAATTTTTCTAAATATTTAGAGTTGGTAAGTAAAGAGAATTCCTGAAATGACTAGAAGATTGATGGAAAGAAAGCACATCAGTATTTTTGCATATTGGATTTGAAGCAGCAGTAACTTTGTATCTTCTGGATCTTTCATTCTGTGGATTAAGAGGGTGAAAACCTGTTAGATTTGTAACTTTTACTATGTTTTCCTCCCCTAATTAATGCATTCCTGACAGATTAAAATGCAAACTTTGAATTCATAGTTAGGTTTCAAAGGACTTAGGTTTTTATGGAACGAAGTTAGATATTCTAATTGTTGTAGATAGGGGTAATTGGCTCACTTAAGCAATGGCATAGTTCCAGTGGAGCCATTCTGGTAGGTGTTACTTAACTGAAATTTATTTAGTCCAGCTAGTTTACATTCTTTGGAAGGATTTTTTAGTAAGTTTGTTTAGTTCAGTCTTTGATACAGATGACTGTATCATAAATATGTCTTTTGTGCAGGAAGGACAGTTATTTTTGAGATCTTCTGATTATTTATAATTTCATACATAGTAATTTTAGAAGATATTTAGGGCAAGTTCAGAGCACTTGTGTAGAATGAACAAGCCTCTGCGTTTGATTCACCAGTACCACCACCAAGAATTAGTGATTACAAAAAATTTGTACTTGTGCCCTTTTTATGTAACATTAACCTAAATAACCAGTTTATGGGTTGTCAGGGTAGTTCAGATTGCCCAGAATTTGAAGATCTATAAATTTGTCATAGAATGATATACTTGAAGAGTAGTGAGGAAAGGAACAAATATTTATTGAACAATTTATGACTCTTAGTAGTCCAGTCCCTTTAAACTGTAGACAGGAAAACAGGCTTAGAACTATGAAATTAGGTAAAGAATTCAGGTTTGGATATGCTAAGTTTGAGATTTGTTAGCCATTCAAATAGATTATGCTGGTTAGGTTTTATTGTCAACTTGACATAGCCTAGAGTCACCTGAGAAGAGGGAACCTTAATTGAGGAATTACCTAGATCAGATTGGCCTGTGAGAGATTGTCGTGATTGATGAGTGATACAGGAGGGTCCAGCCCACTGTGTCTAGCACCATCATTAGGCATATAGGCCTGAACTGTATAAGCAAGCTAGCTGAGCATGAGCTAGAGAGCCAGCGAGTGAGTCAGTAAGCAGTGTTCTTCTGTGATTTCTGCTTCAGTTCTTACTTGAGTTCCTGTCCCCAGTGATGGACTGTAACCCAGAAATGTAAGATGAAATAAACCTCTTCTTCCCCTAAAATGCTTTTGGTCATCGTGTTTATCACAGCAACAGAAAAGCAAACTAGAACAGAGACGTTCTATAGGCAGCTGGATTTACTAATCTGAAGTTGGGGAGAGATTCATTCAGACTGCAGGTATAATTTAGGTAATCTTTAGCCTATAGGTGGTATTTAAAAGCCACAGATAGAGGCCAAGCCAGGTGTGGTGCCGTATACCTTTAACTCCAGCATTCAGGAGGCAGAGGCAGGTGGAATTCCAAGTCAACCCAGTCTACATAGTTGTAGGCCATCTAGGGCTAAGGGAGATTGTCTCAAAACAGAACAAAACACCACAGATTGGGGCTGGCAGGATGCCTCAGTGGATAAAGGCATTTGCCTCCAAGCCTGATGACCTGAATTTGATCCCCGGAACTCACATGCCATCACACCCAGCCTTGTGTTTTTGTGTTTTACCTATAAGTTCTTTGTATTTCAAATACCAAACTAGCAGGGACAAAATATAATTTTATTAAACATTGTATAATTTACATATTTTTTAAACTGACAACTTTTAAAAAACTTTTTAATACGTGAATTATTGTTTTGCCTGCTTATGTATAAGTGTATCATGTATGCGGTGCCTGCGGAGGCAGAAGTGGGCATTGGGTCCCCTAGAAGTGGAGTTAAGGGCAGTTGTTAGCTGCTATGTGGGTTCTGGGAAACTGCAGGAACAGCCAGTGTTCTTAACTGCTGAGCCATCTTCCCAGTCGCCTGTGGTTTATATTTTATTATATATAACATGTATTTATGTAATACATGTTTATTTGTATTTATATTTGAGACACTGATTGTTTCAGGCAGGCCTGGAACTTGACATCCACTTGCCTCGTCTAGTGTTGG